TGGTTTTATGTATCAGTAGTTACTTTGTTTTTATTGTGGAGTATTCCATTGTATAGATACTATACAATTTGTTTAAACATTTACATGTTGGTAGACATCTGGGCAATTTCCTATTTTTACTATTGTGAAAAAAGTTGTTATGCACATTCACATATAGGTCTTTGTATGGATAAATGTTGTCATTGCTTTTGAGTAAATAATTAGGAGTGGAATTGCTGGATCATATGGTAGGTAAATGTTTCACTTCGTGATGTTCTCCTTCTATATCTTATGCTTTCCTAAAGTCTAGTGGTGAAGAAAGCCCAAATAAGTTATCAAGTACCAACTCGGGAGGGGAAAGGGAGAGCGGTGGGCTGTTTTGATGTGGCTCAGATGGGGCTAGTTTAGGAAAGAAAGAAATTGGGGAAAGGGATGAGGATGAGTAGATATAAGAGGACAGCACAGTTCAAAGGAGAGCCCATGGGTTTAAGTCAAAACATCTGAACTTACATCCAGGCTCTATGCTTCCTTTCGTAAGACTGTGAGAAATTTAATGTCTTGGTTTATAAATAAGTGAAACAGAGGCAATAATATTTATCTTTCATGATGGTTTGTGCAAGTGTTTTCTAAACCAAAAAATTTCTCCAAATTATGGTGTTGTTTTAGGGAGAACACAGTAAATGTCAACTCTGAACCATTCTGGTTGGGCATGAGGGTGGAAACGTTGTTGGTGATGGTACAACCGATTTTACTTATTATGCTATGTAATCCAAACTTTTCATTTTTAACAAGATATCAGTATATAAATGTGGTGGGGATCCGGCCATTCTTGATATCAGGATACAAACTCCTTCAAGAATCTGATAAAAGCTATAAATTCCTTCCAAAAAATGCTTCCCACAGAATTCTAGGAAAAAGTTCATAGACCCTTTAAACACCACTCATGGACCCGGGTTTTAAGAATACTGACTTATGCCCTGGCCGGTTTGGCTCAGCGGTTGGAGCGTCGGCCTGCGGTACAGAGAGACCCGGGTTCGGTTCCCGCTAAAGGGCACGTACCTCGGTTGCAGTTTGTCCCCGGCCCTGGTTGGTCGTGCGGGTGGCAGCCACTCGATGTGTCCCTTCGCATCGATGTTTCTCTCTCTCTCTCTTCCTCTCTCTCCCTCCCGCTCTATCTGAACAAAAAATGTCCTCGGGTGAGGATTAAAAAAAAAAAAAAGAATACTGACTTATAGGAGGGATCACATTACCACATTTCAGGTTATATTACAAAGCCACTGTAATCAAAACATCCTGGTACTGGCACAAGAACAGGCAGGTAGAACAATGGAACAGAATAGAGAACCCAAAAATGGACCCAAGGCAATATGCTCAATTAATATTTGGCAAAGGTGGCAAGAGCATACAGTGGAGTAAAGACAGCCTCTTTAATAAATGGTGTTGAGAAAATTAGACAGCTACATGCAAAAAGACGAAACTAGACCATCAACTTACACCATACACAAGAATTAACTCAAAATGGATAAAAGACTTAAATGTGACCTGTGAATCCATAAAAATCCTAGAAGAAAATGTAGGCAACAAAATTTCAGACATCATATGCAGCAGAATTTTCACTGATACATCACCTAAGGCAACAGAAACAAAGGAGAAAATGAACACATTGGACTACATCAAACTCAAAGCTTCTGCACAGCAAAAGATACAATCATCAAAATGGAAAGGCAACCCACTGTATGGGAGAGCATCATTGCCAATGATATATCAGATAAGGGGTTAATTTCCAATATATATAGAGTGCTCATACAACTCAACAAAAGGAAGACAAAGAACCCAATTAAAAAAATGGGCAGCCCTGGCCGGTTTGGCTCAGCGGTTAGAGCGTCGGCCTGCGGTCCGGAGAGGCCCGGGTTCGGTTCCCGCTAAGGGCATGTACCTTGGTTGCAGTTTGTCCCCAGCCCTGGTTGGTCGTGCGGGTGGCAGCCACTCGATGTGTCCCTTTCACATCGATGTTTCCCTCTCTCTCTCTTCCTCTCTCTCCCACCCACTCTGTCTGTACAAAAAATGGAAAAATGTCCTCGGGTGAGGATAAAAAAAAAAAAAAAAAAAAAAAAATGGGCAGCCCTGGCCGTTTTGGCTCAGCGGTTGGAGCGTCAGCCCGCGGTTGGAGCGTCAGCCCGCGGTCCAGAGAGACCCGGGTTCGGTTCCCGCTAAGGGCACGTACCTCGGTTGCAGTTTGTCCCCGGCCCTGGTTGGTCGTGCGGGTGGCAGCCACTCAATGTGTCCCTTCACATCGATGTTTCTCTCTCTCTCTCTTCCTCTCTCTCCCTCCCACTCTATCTGAACGAAAAATGGAAAAATGTCCTCGGGTGAGCATAAAAAAAAAAAAAAATGGGCAGAGGAACTAAATAGACATCTCTCCAAACAGGACATACAAATGGCTAAGAGACATATGAAGAAATGCTCAATATCACTAATCATCAGAGAGATGCAAATTAAAACAACTATGAGGTATCACCTCACACCTGTCAGAATGGCCGCCATCAACAAATCATCAAACAAGTGTTGGCAACGGTGTGGAGAAAAGGGGACTCTAGTACACTGCTTGTGGGAATGCAGACTGGTGCAGCCACTGTGGAAAACAATATGGTGTTGCCTCAAATAATTAAAAATTGAACTTCCATTTGACCCAGTGATCCCACTTCTAGGAATACATCCCAAGAAGCCTGAAACACCAATCAGAAAGAATATATGTACCCCCATGTTCATAGCAGCACTATTTACAATAGCTAAGATCTGGAAACATCCCAAATGTCCATCAGTAGACAAATGGATAACAAAGCTGTGGTACATATACACAATGGAGTACTATGCAGCTGTAAGAAAGAAAGATCTCTTATCCTTTGAGACGACATGGAGGGACCTGGAAAGTATTATTCTAAGTGAAACAAGCCAAACAGAGAAAGACAAGTATCATATGATCTCACTTATTTGTGAAATATAATGAACATAACAGTCTGAGGAATGGAATAGTCCCAGAGAGGTGGAAGTAGGGTACAGACTGACAATCCCCCGAAGAGGGAGTGGTGGGGGAGAGATAAACCACAGAACTTATATGCATGTATGCATGAACAATAGACATGGACAACAAAGCTGGGGACAGGGTGGGGAGGGAGGGGGAGGGGGGAGTCAGTGGGGGGGGAAGGAGAAACATCTGTAACAAAAATAAATGAATTAATTAAAAAATAAAATAAAATAAATTTTTTTTTTTATATCCTCACCCGAGGACATTTTTCCATTTTTTGTTCAGGTAGAGTGGGAGGGAGAGAGAGGAACAGAGAGAGAGAGAAACATCGATGTGAAAGGAACACATCGAGTGGCTGCCACCCGCACGACCAACCAGGGCCGGGGACAAACTGCAACCGAGGTACATGCCCTTAGCGGGAACCGAACCCGGGTCTCTCCAGACCGCAGGCCGACACTCTAACCGCTGAGCCAAACCAGCCAGGGCTAAAACAAAAATTTTTTTAAAAGAGAGAGAGAATACTGACTTATAGATACCAGTAAATAAAAAACACAAAAATCTTGTTTACCTGTATAAAAATAATTCAATTATGGTTACTTATACAAATAACTTGTTTCCATACTATGTGGTACAGTACCTATTTTACCTATAATTATATCAGATAAAATTTGATTTGGTTATAAAACTAACCTGTTGCAGTCTCCACATTTATCATTTGTTGTTCATGTAGCACAGTGTCTATTCACAACTTTAAGAGGAAAAACTAGAAAGACTGTTTCTTAAGAGCTAGTATTCTGCCTTCATGGTTTCATCCATTGAAGTAATTATTTCCCGGTTTGGAAATTATTTGCTCTTATGGAATAAACTGGTAGGTGAGAGGTTGTGAGGCAGAGTGAATGGTGTTCAAGCTTTGAAAGACAGACCTGGGTGAGAATTCTAGGTCCTTCACACTTCCTAGAGTTCGACCTTAGCAAGCTCTTTAAGCCTGGCCTTCACTAACTTCATTAATCAAATGGGAATAACAATACCTACTCAAAGGGCTTCTATCAAGATTAGGGACAATGCAAACAAAGCACTCAGGCTGAATTAGATGTTCAATGATAATACTACCGTATGGTGAGTCTTTGTGTTACACAACAGACCTATGTTGCCCAGGGCTCTCAATGCCTTATAATCAAACTGGCCAACGATTCCTGATTTCAGGGAACAATTGCTTATTCTGTTGGGGGAGGTAGCAAATATCAAAGGTTGATAGCTGTTGACACCACCTTGGGGTGCCAGGGAGCCAGACAAGAGGTTATGCTGTGTCTTGCTTTTGACAGTCCATTGAAGCATGACTTCTGAATGGCACTTTGCTGGCTTTTCAAGAACCCAGTGCGGTATCTGAGGTCTTAAAAACTCGGAACTAACACATGCAGGGGAAAAACCAGTTCAATAACATCTTTTCCTTCCTTACTGCTAGCTTCCTTGTTTTTTCTTTCTCTGGCTTAGCCAATACCAACACAAGGACTAATACATCTTCTGACCGTTTTTATTGTCTTCCAAGAATATAATTTCATTTCTGTATAAGTGCCATCGGCTTCCCTGACTCCTTTGGGAAGAGAGGGAACATTCTGTGAGTCACGTCCACCGGTTTTCAGACCGAGCATTCAGTGGAAGTCAGTGTGGTGTGGTGACAAAAGTAGCGGTAGGGAATCAGGGAATCTCTGGTCCCCATCACCATTTGTGAATCTCTTTGAAAAGGGCCAACGGATCTGCATCAAATAGGCTTCCGGTGTGCGTGAGCTTTGTTCACACTTGTGACAAGCGGTGATCCGCGGGAGCCCAATACAAAGGCGCACAGGCGGAACTGCAGTAGGCTGGCGGCTGCGGCGCAGCGCTGGGAACGGAGGATTGCGCGCGCAGCGCCTCCGCCGCCTCCCGAACCCAGGGCCTCCGTTGCCAAGGGAACTGGGAGCGGCGCGCTTTCCGGCGCAGTCGCGGCCTGCTGCAGCTGTCATGGCGGAGACCGTCTGGAACACTGACACCGGGGAGGCTGTGTATCGCTCCCGGGACCCCGTGCGCAACCTGCGCCTCCGGTAGTCGCATCGTCCCTGAGCCCCGTGCTTTTATGCTCTCAGATAATTCGAGTCTGAACTTCACTTCTCCGTGTTCGGCGGCCCTCACTTTTGCTTACAACCCTGATCACTGCCTTCGCGGTCTCGCTGCGTCTCCCCTCACTACCTGACACCCTCTCCATTCACAGCTTCCAGACCTACCCAAGCCCTCCCAAGTTCCTCGGAGCCCTGTGTCCCCAGTACACTCTCTCATCCTCACTCTTCCCCCCTTAGGAGTCCGCGCCCCGCTCACCACCCCTTCATTGCCTGCACCCCGCACACCTTGGCAGCCCCGCCCTCTTCTGTGTTGTGTTTCTCCCACCACTGCTCCGTGTTCATCTCCTGGTGGTGTGTCTTTTAACGAGTGTTTTGGGGCTTCTCTTTTCCTGACAGAGTCCACTTGCAAAGAATCACATCAAGCAACATCCTCCAGTACCAGCCTGTTGCCCAGCGCGGGAAGGACCTCATTGACTTGGCCACTTTTAGGCCTCATCCCACCGCCAGTGGGTGTATGGTGCTTATGTGTCCCCTAGTGTATCTGGGGAGGGCCTCGGGTGGTAGTTATCCCCTAAGACAGAAAAGGCCTAGGGCTGTAGTCAGAAAAGACATAGAGAGGTTGGGTTCCTTGCTCAAGGTCACATGGCAGGTAAATGTTGAAGCCAGGGCTTGATTAGGCAATTTTAACTGCTATGTTGTGTTTGAAAATTGAATAAGACTTACTTCCTGCCATCACGACATTGATCTTAATTGTGGTTAAATGTAGTGAAATAACAGATACCATACTTTAGATATGTTATAAAATTTCCTGGCAACCTAAATGTCATTTGTGGCATTTTTTTCTCTAAGAGAAAAATATGCTCCAAATTCTAAGTATACATATGAACACTTTTTGAAACAGTTTAAAAATTGGGGTCTGCTTGAAAAATATACATATTAAGATCAACTATGATCTTTCAGTTTTCCTTATCTGGGAAGGCAGAAGAGTGAGGAAGAGAGGACAGTGTGCTTGTGTTAGGCTACTAGTCTCTCTGATTTTATTTCTGTTTAGAAACAGTCCTGGGCAAGAAGAGTGTGGGCTGTTAGGTTGTGAAGCATATGTCTCTGGAAAAGGCATACTCAGCTAGGAGTGTATTAGATTTGGTTTTTTATATAATCACTTATTTGTCTTTCCTCTTCTCTCCTGATACTTGGTCCTAAGGTTACAGTGTTTGTGATTCTAGATATATGGCTTTAGGAATAGTAAAGATGAAAATGCTAGGGTTTCTTTTAAGCAAATGTAGACCATTAGAATTGAGGAAGAGCTAATCAGTCTAGATCTAAATTTCACTACTGACACTCAATTAGATTAAATTATTCCTAGAAGACATGTCTTTCTTTTATTCAAATTAGAATAGTGATTAAGACTTCTTGAGTATTAATCCTGGCTTCTACAATCCACAGCCTCTCCAACCTTTGTCAAGAGTGAGTAATTAATAAATCACCGAACCCCAACTGGTTTTGTGGCAAATATAAAACAGCAGGGACTTTGATTATAACTAACCACAGAAGAAGAAGTGGTGTTGGTTTGGCTCAAACATTTTACTTATCCTGTTGTCTTTGGAGGTGGACACCGCCCAAATGAAGATGAAGAGGAGGAGATTGTGATTGGGTGGCAGGAGAAGCTCTTTAGCCAGGTGAGCTAGTGTCACTTGTCTGCCCAGTCTACCTCTACCTGGCTGGTGGCAGGGAAAGAGTCTTGATACAGATTGCCAAACCGATTTCCAGAAAGCTTGTAGCAGTTTGTACTTCCTCCTATTGTGTTAACAGGGGCAGTGTAGCATAGTGACTGCCATTATCCAGTTTTATGATCCTAGGTGAGATACTTTTCACCTCTGGGCCACATGCCATCAATAACTGCAGAATTGGATTAGATCATCACTCTGATTCCTTGTAGCTCTTATATCCTTTGGATCCCGTGCCCTCCATTTGTTTAGATAAATGAAAGTTGGCTATAAAAACATGTCAGATTGTATTAGCTCTATAGAACTGCTTTAATTAAATATAGGAATGAAAGCTTCACATAGTCTCAGTGGATCTCTCTTTCCTTGTAACCTCAGTTTGAAGTAGATCTGTACCAAAACGAAGCAGCCTGTCAGAGCCCTTTGGATCATCAGTACCGTCAAGAGATCCTGAAGCTGGAGGATTCAGGTAGAAGGAAGAACCGACGAATCTTTACCTACACTGACTCTGATAGATACACCAATTTGGAAGAGGTACTGTTCTTTCCAAGGTCTCATAGCTTTTCCTCTGCCTCCCTGAGCTTTCTGGCCTCACTAGGGTCTGTGTGTTAAATCAGGAGCCTGTTAAGGGGTGACAGAGAGCATGTCTACAAATTGCCTTGTGCTGCTGGTAGCCAAGCTGGAGTAGAGTGGCCACAGTCTACAGGTAATGTGGCTTCTGCTCCCTTCTCCGTCTGCTGGAGGGCCTGGAGGAGCTGGCAGCATCTCTAAGGATAGGCTTGCAGGTTGCAAACCCGGAGAAGCAGCCACTGGGCTTGACTTCCGCCATGGGTCATGAGATATGACAGGTGGGTGGAGTCTAGAACCATCTAGACCAGCGATTGTCAACCTTTCTCATCTCATCACACACATAAACTAATTACTAGAATTCTGTGGCACACCAAAAAATAGATTTTTTGCTGATCTGACAAAAAAATAGGTATGCTTTTGATTCATTCACACCGGACAGCTATTGTTGAGTTGGCTATTGTCATTTTTTTTTTATTTGACAGTCTGACTCTAAGGGAAAAGAGGTCAGTGCCACAGATTAGTCAGGTATTGCATGTTTTAAAAATTCTTATGGCACACCCATTGAGAATCGCTGATCTAGATAAAATTCATCAGCCAAAACTCTGAGTGTATATATGGGTTTGAAGAGGAATTCAGTATAACCAATGGCTTATGTCCTCAGTTTGCCTCAATTATGCCAACATACCTTGGTGGACTTGTTTAACATTTCCTTCAGCCACTGCCTGATATGGTCTATCTTCTCAGTGAGATTTTAAACTCCTTGAGGGAGGGTAGAGCCTGTTTTCTGATTTTTGTCTATAACCTTGTAGATCTCTGCAAAGAACAGTTGTTAAGTGAATGGTTTTGAAAGATTGATGTTTTATTAGGAAAGCTGTGGGTTGGTAGCATATAAAATTTGGGTTGTCCGTTTTGGAGAAGGGGACAAAGTTACAGTCAGTGCTCAGTTCCCATGTGATAATTTCCCCCAGAATATTTGTATCCCATTTGGCATCTTCCAGCTATCTCGTTAATGCCAACATCTACCAGGCTCACTTTAATATTAGCATGAATAAACTCACTTCCAAAGGTTAGCATGTTGCTGAAATCTCAGGCAAACCCAGGCGTGGTAGGAATCTTCTTTGGCTTGTTGGTGCCACTCCTCCCCTTCAGCATATATGTTGTGAGGAATACTTTTAGATTCAAGTCCCGGATGAGGTTTCAGAAGGAAGTCTTCCCCTTGGGTAATTGGTCCCATGTAGCCCTGACCAGCTGGGTTACACACGTCTGCTCTCTCTTCCCAGCACTGTCAGAAAATGACCACTGCAACCAAGGAGGTGCCATCATTCTTGGTCGAGCGAATGGCAAATGTTAGACGGCGACGGCAAGACAGGCGAGGGATGTGAGTGCGAGTGTGCGTGGGGGCCATGGCGGGGGCCCTGTGGTCCTTCCATGCCGTTGTTCTAGTATATCCACCAGCTCTAGCTCCTGTTCAGCAGTACACCTCCGCCTAGGCGTGCTCCCCTGTGTTCCTCCTTCAGGCTCTTCAGGGGGTACCAGGGAAGTGACCCTTCCTGTGGTGTCTCTCAGGGAGGGCGGCATCCTCAAGTCACGAATTGTCACCTGGGAACCCTCAGAAGAGTTCATCAGGAACAACCATGTCATCAACACCCCTCTCCAGACAATGTATATCATGGCGGACCTGGGGCCCTATGGAAAGTGAGTGAGGCTTCTCACTGCCAGCTCGGATCCTCCTCATCATCTCCTCTCACTAACCATCACCTACCTGTTGGAGTTATCCTGGGGTATATGGGAAGGAGGGACTTCTTTTTCTTTTTATTCTTCTCCCTTGTTCTCCAAAGAAAGTATTTTACCATGATAATTCTCACTGCAGCCTCCGTCCTCTCCCCTGACGTGGTCTGACAACCTCTTCCTCTTTCCTGGGTGGCACCAGTAATCCTGAACCCTGTTGGTGTCCTGGTTTCTAGGCTTGGCTATAAGAATTATGAACACGTCCTCTGTACTCTGAAGGTGGACAGCAATGGTGTGATCACAGTAAAGCCTGACTTCTCTGGCCTCAAAGGACCCTACAGGTGAGGGGAGAGAAAGGGGTGGTAGAGACTGGCGTTTCTTCCTTCGGCTTCACTTCCTGCCCCTAGCTGAGCAGGTCCTCAGAAAGCCCTTCATCTGCTCTAACTTGTAAGTTCCCAGGTAGTTGTTCCTGTTCTATTAACCCCTGCGATACTGGGGTCCTGTTCTCAGAAAATGTGCAACTACACACACTTGGAAGTGACAGCTTAGCAGTGGAGTTGAGTGAAAGGAAGTCTGCTGCTGAGTGGAGGGACCAACCAGAAGGGAGTGAGTGAGCTCAGCCGGGTCCTTTCCTCCGGGCTGATTGTCTTTCATCTCCGTGTCCTGGAGTAACAGAGCTGTAACTTAGATGTTACTTAGACCCTCATGTCCGTTTCTTAGGTGAGAGAACTAGGTGCCAGGAGTGTTGTGCTTTAGGGTTTCACCGTGACTTTGAGGCAGAAATGGGCCCATAACCTGTACTTTCTGAGTCTAGTCTGGTGCCCTCGCTTTACCATTTTGTTTCCCTCCCCATCATCATTCTGGCCATCGTTTGTCGTGCTTGAAATGAGGTGCGTGGCCAGTGATTGCTAAGCCCTGGGCTGGATCTGGAGGGCCCCTTCTCTTGATATCAGAGTTCATTCTTTTGTGGCTTTGACCTTACAGAATCGAGACGGAGGGGGAGAGGCAGGAGCTGTGGAAGTACACCATCGACAACGTGTCCTCCCTCGCACAGCCGGAGGAGGAGGAGCGGGAACAGCGTGTGTTCAAGGATGTAAGAACTAATTCATCCCTAGCGCCAAAGGGGTGAGCCTCCGGCCTCGGAGCTGAGACCGTGCCCGAGGTTCTGTCAGCAGTGGCAATGTCTTGACTTAGGAAGCATTGCTGACATATCAGACCCAAGTGTTTGATCATATCAGAACACCATAGTCATCATCGTGACCCTTTATTTGAGCACTTACCATGCATGCTCTGGGTAGGTGTTTCACATACTTTCATTTAGACCAAACAACAACTCTTTGAGGTAAATGCTTTTATTACTACCAGTTATAATTGAGGAAACAGACTGAAAAGCTAAGCAGCCTGCCCAGGGTCACATGGCCTGACCGTGTGAGAGCCAGGATTCGGTCCCAGCCAGGGGATTGCACAGCCACTGCGCTTCACTTTGAAATGCCAGTGGCTGGGATGCTTTGGCCTCCAGTCCTCTGTGGCATTTCCCATTACGGCTTTTCCCCTCCCATTCAGAACTGAACCCTGGTCTGGCTTGGGTCACATCTTGGGTTTTGGTTTGGTTCTTTCCGCAGCTCTATGGCCGACACAAGGAGTACCTCAGCAGCCTCGTGGGCACTGACTTTGAGATGGTGTGTACTTGGCTTCTTGCAGCACTGTGAGCTGGGTTCAGCCACAGCATTCTGACCGTGGCTGAGTGGTAGAGCCTCTCTTAAAGGTTCCTAGGACAGCCCTGGCTGGTTTGGCTCAGCAGTTAGAGCGTCTGCCCGCAGACCAGAGAGTCCTGGGTTTGGTTCCCGCTAAGGGCACGTACCGTGGTTGCAGTTTGTCCCCGGCCTTGGTTGGGGTTGTGCAGGTGGCAACCACTCAGTGTGTCTCTCTCACATCAATGTTTCTCTCCCCGCCCCTTTCTCCTTCCCGCTCTGTCTGAAGATAAATGCAAAAATGTCCTCAGGTGAGGATAAAAAAAATTAAATTAAAAAAAAAAAAAAAAAGGTCCCTAGGACATACTATACTCTTCAGTGTCAAGGGAAGTAAAAATTAGCATATAGAGGATAGTCCTTGTTAATGTTTCAGAAACATTGCATGTTGATATAGAACCATAAATACATAAGAAAAGGCCTTAAACGCATATGTATGTTATGGGTGGCTTTTTCTGGGGAGAGGGTAGAATTGGGAGGTAGTAGAGGAATACTGGGTGGTGTGAGTGCTATGGCAGGGACATTTACTTTTATTCTCTACACTTACATAGTTTTTAATTTCTTCAGTGGTAATGTACTCATGTATTACTTTATAATTCATTTAAAAATACATAGAAAGATAAAAATGTCTTCCTCACTTCATGTGGATATTTTTCCTAAGGGTCTCATAGGGAGGGAAGGGGTGTCACTTTTGTTTGTCGGATCGTTTGGCTCGTTAAAAACAAACAGGTTTAGGTCAGCTATTCTGTGGCTCTGGTCTCTTCCCCTGCTCCAGCATCTGGATCTGGAAGCAAGGACAGGCTCGCTCACTAGACTTCCCCTCGCTCTCTGAAAAATGAACTTTCATTCGTTTTACATTGCATTTGCAACCAAGGGGCAGTGTTAAACAAGTTAGATAAGACAGCTACACAAGCAGCCGAAGCGGGAACCTCCCTCGTTTCCTGACCTCTGTGTCTGAAGGGAACAGGGTCTCCAGCCTCCCAGCACGCACCGAAGGACAGCTGTCGTGGCTTCTGCTATTCTGAACTTCCCAGACTGCGTTGCCTTCCCAGCCATTTAAATTATGTACCTCCTCCTACATTACAAATGTTAGATATTGTAGGAAGCAGATCTGTGAAGTGGCGGGGTGGGGAGATGTGTCAGGGACATTCCAGGTGGGACATCCAGTGTCAGGTCTTCGGGGTCTGTGGGAAGGCTGGAGACGTGTTGATTCCCTCCACACATCCTGATCTTCCCCTTTCTCTCTGCCTTAGACTGTCCCAGGGGCCCTCCGGCTCTTTGTAAATGGAGAGGTAGGTAAGTGTCTTGCCAGACAGACATCTCTTATGCTTGGTCAGGTGCCCCATTGGAGCTGTGAAGTAATCCACCAGCCCAGCGGAGGCCTTGGCTTGTCTGCAGCATTTAGAGAACTCAGCCATGACCTTCCTGGAAACAGGAGAGTCCTGACCCTCAAGGGACTTCCAGAATTGTATAGACCCTTCAGGACAGGGTGGGTGCCAGGGATGATTGGAGAAGAAGCTGAAATAGTTCCCTGTTTTCTTAGTTTCAGCCCAAGGCTATGAGTATGACAATCTCTACGTCCACTTCTTTGTGGAATTACCAACTACTAGTAAGTAATATCCATAAGTCTCTTTTTATATATATACCCATCCTGAAAGTTTTCTCCGGGCATTTGGTCAGGCTTCCTTTCCTGCTCCTGCTTCAAAACTGTTACTGTTCTTTTCAAAGCCATAGATCACTTTCAAGTTGTCAAGTCCCGTGGTGACCCCTCTGCTTTCACCTCCCTTGAGCTCTCGGAAGCATCTGACGCGGCTCACTTTTCCTCACTGAACTCCCCTCTCGGCTTCCAGCTCCGTGCTTCTCTTTTCTCTCTCATTGGTAGCTCGTCAGCCTCCGCGGCTGATTCCTTGTCTTCGTTCATCTTAAGCTACCCGAGTATCCAAGGCTGGGCCTTTTCAGGACCGTTTCCTGTGTCTGAGCCCCTTTCTGTCAGCTCCTCGCACGACTGGTTCTTCCTGAGTGTCGGCCTCAGCCTAAGGGTCACCTCTGCGAGGTCCCTCGCCGCTCAGTGTGGATGAGCCCCCAGCTTCCTCAGCTCCTCACGGATTCTGTCCCGTGCAGCGTGCTCACCACCTGGGAGCCTCTTGTTGGCTGCCAGTCTCCTTCCCACTAGAAGGCTAGGTTCATGAGCCACAGGGATCTTGTCTACCTGGTCACCAGGATGTCCCCAGTGATGGTCATAGCATGGAGCAGACACTCAGTAAATGGGAAGTGAACGACTGACTGGGAAGTAGACGAGTGGATGAGGAACTTTGTCCTGTCCTCAACTACTTGCCTTCCTCCCCGGTAAACGTGTTATATATTGTCTTTGGCTTTCAGACTGGTCAAGCCCAGCATTCCAGCAGCTCTCAGGAGTAACACAGACCTGTGCTGCCAGGTCCCTGGGAATGGTATGGAAACGAGAGGGCACCTGGAAAGGAACAGCTCTGATCCTGGGGGGCATCTGAAGATTATCAGGCTGACAGCCATGCCCTCTAGGGAGACTCCAGAGTTGGGCCTAGCCTGTCTGGGGGCGCTCTGCAGGGCTGCTTAGTCCTGAGGTCCTTTTGCTGCTTTGGGGAGAATGGGAGCAGCTTGTAATTGGGTGTCCCTTTGCCCTAGCCTTTTATTTTCTATCCAGGGTGATAGTTTTTTCTTTTTCCCTTGTGAAGGTGATCATGTCATTGTCCACAGGGAGCATAAATTTCAGGTGAAGCCTTGCCTACCTCATGGCATTGAGTATAGAATGACACTCCTCTTTTTTAGGACAAGGTGGCCTACTTCTCCTATCCATTCTCGTTTGAGGCCTCCTTCCTCCACGAGGACGAATCGGCTGGTGAGTAGCTCAGCAGTGGGCCCTCGGCCTCGGGCCTCGGCGGTGCCCCCTCTTGGCGGAGGCCCCCTGTGACCTGGCTGCTTCTCCCACTTGCTCGCAGAGGCCCTCCCAGCGTGGCCTGTGCTCTACTGCGAGGTCCTTTCGCTGGACTTCTGGCAGAGATACCGTGTGGAAGGCTACGGGGCTGTGGTGCTGCCCGCCACCCCAGGTGACCCCCTGTCCCCGCCCTTCATGTGACCCCATGCCCTAGCTCGTAGGAACAAGACAAACACAACAGATTCAGCCGCTTCCAGGGAGAAGTAGGGATAATTAGGGATTAGAAGCACTTAACTTGCAGGATTCCTTGCTCCTGTTGAGCAGTTTCCCCCCTTCATTAGAGACAGCTGAGTGGAAACGACAATGAAGTTGAGTGGCCCGAGTGTCTCTGGGATCTGCTCCTGCCTCTCTGATCGGACTTGCAGCCTCGAGGGAGGAGCTGCCTGGCACAGTGGGCCAGCGTTCATTTTAGGATGGTAGCCACTGTCCTTTATTGTGTGCCAGGCATTGTACTACCTGCTTCTCTTTAATTCTCCCAACTACTCTGAGGTGTAGGTATTGTTATTTCCATTTTACTAGATGGGAATCAGGCTCAGAGAAGTTAAAGAACTTAACCTGGGCACACAGGTAATAAAGGGCAGAGCTGCAATTTGAATTTCTGTCTGATTGATTTCCAAACGTGTGCCCTAACTACTACCATGATCATCTTCACCAGAGGTCAGACTGTCCCAGAGCAGGGCTGTACTGGTGATTAGGCCAGTGTCATTGCTGGGGAGTCAGCAAGGGACCACATGCCCTTTCTGGCCCTGGCCTCATTTTTCTCGTCCTGCACAGGCTCACACACCCTCACAGTCTCCACCTGGAGACCCATGGAGCTTGGCACGGTGGCTGAACTAAGAAGGTTTTTCATTGGCGGTTCTCTGGAGCTGGAGGACCTCTCCTATGTGCGGATACCAGGAACCTTCAAGGTGATGTTTGTCTCTGCAGACGTCATGCTGGGAACTTACTTCCTGTCTCCTCTGTAGAAGGTGGGATCTGGGTTAAGGCCCCTTCTTTGTTCATTGCTTCATTATTACATAGCCCTTCCTTCCTGCTGCTTAAGCTGGAAGTCATAGCCACATTTTGAACCGGGTACAGATATCTCCACTGTTCTCCTAGATCTCTGGAAAATAGTATACTTGAGATTTCCCTTAGTCCCCATCAGAATAACCAGCCCCTCCTTCCAGCCCATCACTGGGGCCTCGATAACCAGAGGTGGGGAGGATCAGCAGAAAGCTCGTAAGACTGCTTACTCTCGCTGAGGGTGGAATGTCCCCTGCTTTGTGGCTGGGAGCCCAGTGTTAGCCTTGAGTGAGGGTACCTGGGTGCTGGAATGAGGTTTCCCCAACAGAGCTGTCTTCCCTAGGAATGGGAATAGGAGTGGCAGTGCGGCCAGCCTGGGGCCTGGGGTGTAGACTCAGAAACCTGAAGCTGTCGAACTTTGTGCCACAGGGGGGGCGTCTGAGCCGCTTTGGGTTCCGCACAAAGACCACAGGTAGTGTCACCTTCCGCTTGCACTGTCTGCAGCAGTCCAGGTGAGTGACCGTGGCCCTGTGCCCTGGGGCTCTTTCTCCCTGGGGGCTGGAGAGCAGCCCTGACCGTGTGGCATGCTCCCCTGTAGGGCATTCATGGAGTCAAGTTCTCTCCGGAAAAGGATGCGGAGTGTGTTGGACCGTCTGGAAGGATTTAGCCAGCAGAGTTCCATTCACAATGTGCTGGGTAGGTTCCTCATCCCCCCAGCTGGCCATCCAGGGTCGGCATGGGCCATGCTCCTCCCCACACCATGACAGCTAACTACTACATTTGCTTCCATCCCAGAGGCCTTCCATCGTGCCCGGCGCCGCATGCAGGAGGCCCGAGAAAGCCTTCCCCAGGACCTAGTGAGCCCCTCGAGAACCATGGCGTCCTAGCTTGCTACAGCTCTGCCCCTCCGTGCAAGGGGCTGCGACAAGTGATCACTGAGGCCATGATCTCCCACCTCATCGTTCTTATTGGAGACCCGCTGAGAACCGGAAGAGCTGAGACAATCCCCAGATGGCCCCTCTGCCTAGTCTTCTGCAGGGTCTTCTCCCTGCTGTGTGGCCAAAAGCCTGAGACCTGTGGCCCCCATGCTCTTATTCAGCTACTGCAAGTGGGCATCACAACAAGACATGTTTGGTTTGAAACTAGTTCGGGAAAACCCCATAGTAAATTCTGTCCTCAACACAGCAGCCTCTTCCCTGGCTTGTCTCAGTCTCAGTAGCAGTGGGCTGCAGGTGCCTCCTCCACAACCTCTTTACAAGTGGCGGCTCAAGACAGAAGACCAGAGAGAGCTTGTGTTCCCAGCCCGGGAGCCTCGGCCTCCTCCCCATGTAGCCTCACCGCTTGAGGCTTGTTGCCTTTGCAGTACAACTATTTCTGGAGCAAATGAAGGCTGAAGGCAGTGCCCAGTCCTTTCTGCTAACTGGGAGGTATCTTTTATTGTGTTTTTTATACATAAAAGCTTTTATACTGATATTCTATTGGCTGCTTCTCTGCTCGGGTCGCTGGCGTGGTTGAGGTGTTCTCCTTGATGCCGGGGCCCCCGTACTGCTCCCCTTTCCCTTTCCTGCCTTCTGCTCCGGAGTGCTTCCCATCCTCTCAGCTCGCCCCCAGGGCAGGCCCAGAGGGTAGTGCCAGTGTGTCTTAGCAGCAGTCCTCCGAGACAGCTCCAGCAAAGGAGGGACTGAGGTCATGCCCTCCCAGACCAAGACAGACCAGACCCTGCCCCAGCAGTGCTTTATTGGCAGAAGAAGAGCAGGCTCCTGGGGGGGGGGGGGGGTATGGGGTGGCTAGAGGCAGGGACTGTGTGGTCTCCCAGTTATGGGCAGAGGTCAGGGATGGGCTGGGAACTATAAGAAAGTGGCTGGAGACCCTCCAGGTAACTTCTTGCACAGGCCTCAAGATCTCCTTGCTTGGCTCCCAAGGTGGGTATGTTCGTTGCTGCTGGGCACCCTAGCTATCACTCGCAGCCAAAGAACCAGCTCGGAGCTGTTAGCTAGCAAAGCATCAGCAGAACACGGTTGCTCCAGGGGGAAAAGGTAAACGTGTGGTCTTCCCCAGGTTCCCTGTCTCCAAGGTTGGAGGCTTGGGGTGGAGTCCTGTGGAAGCAGCAGAAGTGGACATGAAGAACTTGCCGGACATCGAGAACTGAGCTGTTTCAGGGCGCTGACGACTAGGCCAAGGCTAGCTGGATCCTTCCTAACCGCTCGCCTCCCAAGGTTCTAGGCCCTGGGTGGGATTAACTGTCAGCCCGGAAGCTAGCATACTGAGAAGCCACTAGGCAAGAGTACCCTGTCCCTTCTAACCAGTTCTGTTGTCCCTGCTTAGAGGCCTGAGAGGACTCAGCCGTCCCATCTAGGGAAGGAATGAGGGCCTGACCTAGCCCAGGGCTCCCGGGGGAGGGCCTCTCCTTACCTGCAGAAGCCTTATTTGCCTCGCCAGGCTGACAGGTTGAGCCTGGGGATGCTCCTGCAGTTCTCAAAGCCCCGGGGGTAGTTGTTGGCCCTGAAAATGTCCCTCGGAACCATGGTGATACCAGTATTGTCACATACAATTCGAGACAAGGAAATCTGGCTCAGGGCACTGCGCTGTCTCTTGGTGAAAACACCTCGTTTCTGCCACCAGAACCTGCCAAGACAGTTGAGAGATGTGAGTGAAGGTTGGGGAGGAATTAACATACAATGTGCCCCTGTTGTGTGCTAGGTACATTATTTCATTCAATTCTCGCAAAATTCCTGCAAAATAGGTCTTATTCCCACTTTATTAATTAAGAAACCAGTTTAGTGGTCAAGTAAGTTGCCCAGTATTAAACACACAGTAATTCAAGTGGCCAGGGCTGGATTTGAACCTAGGTAAAGGCCAAATCCAAATAAAAAGTCGGGTCTTAAACCACAAGCTTATTGAAGGGAAACCAGATTTAGCCCTTTCTGCCCATGTTTTCTGGGATCCTTTAGCCTAGAATCGTGAGGCTGAGAAGTCTGTCTCCTGGGTTAAAGGTGCCCCCGGCTCAGGCAATATTAGCCTCCCTGGGTCAGCAGTTGTTCTCTCTCTGACCAAGCTCTCCAGGAGCCTCCTGGTCTCAGATCTGGTGAACTTGGAAGAACTGAAGCTAAAAAGAGCACTTTCCCCATTGTTGAGTCTTTAAATGCTAGTGCTTTTCTCCCCGGCTCTGGGGCTAGTTTCTTCAGGGTCAGCCTCCTTACCTGTCTCCACTTCGGGCTCTTCTGAACTGGTTCTCAAAAAGACAAGCCAGAAGAGGCCCCACTCGGGCCCCTGGCAAGAGCGGCTCTGCAACGGCCCCGATCCAGATGTCGATGTTGTCAGGTGTCCCGTACAGATCCAGGAACTTCCTTGCCAAGACCCGGTTTTTCAGCACTTGGCTAAGCTGTGCCAGATTTCTGGGCTGGGAGAGCCCACAGAAGCGCCGCCAAGCATTGTAGCCTGAGAGGAAGGGGGCAGAAGCAATTTCAGTCTTAGCCCTGCTCTCCTCCCATGAGCTTCTGCTTCTCTCCACATGTCTCCTGAGAGCTGTGTGGTCTGGCGATACGGGGCGGAACAAGAGCCCTGCGGGCAGAAGAGGCCCTGAACCAAATGCCAATGGACAACCATGCGTTGTGACATCAAATTGCAGAGTACGTAACACTTAAGACAGTCCCCAGAACACAAGAGGCTCTCAACCCGGTCTGTGGAATGAATGAATGGAGAAATAAGTAAGTGAACAAAACAAGAAATGAAAAGCATGGATAAAGTTTACTCAGAAAAGGACCACAGACTATATGATTCCATTACATGAAAGTCCAGAATAGGCAAATAGGTAGAGAGAGAAAGCAGATTAGTGGTTGTCAGGGGCTGGGGTGGGAAGGGGGATGGACTGTTATTATTACAAGGTTTATTTTGTGAGTGATAAAAATGTTCTGACATTAGACATGGTGATCTATGTACAACTCTATACTAAAGTCATTGAATCACATACTTTCTATGGGTGAATTTTAGATGTTAATTACATCTCAATAAAGCTGTTTTTTAAAAAATTTCACCTACTCAGAAACTTCCAAAGACTAGCCATGCTGATTTCTCTATCAGGATCTCACACCAGGATCAGGCCGCCTGCTGTGGCGGGGCCATCAGTAGAAGAGATGGCTTTGACATAACCTGAAAGAACACTAGCCCAGCTTCATCCATTGAACTACAACTCACAAGCAACACCCCAGCTGAACAAAGGAAAACTGTGGCACGTTTTGCCGTTACTAAGCTCTGTTGCGTGGATATCTCAGGATCCTCACAATACGTTTGTAATCCCCATTTTATCCGTGGATACTTGTTGAATTTAAGCAACCGTGACTTTTCCAAAGTCAGTCTATTTGAAGTGGGGTTCAAACCAGGTCTTCCAATTCCATATTTGGTGTTGGACTTGGAAAGGGACTAGAATAGACTGGAAGAGGTATTATCAGGAAAATATTTCTGGGACAGCTTGCAGGGTACAGGTATTGGGGGAACAGAATCTGTGTGGCAACTTGGGTGGCTAGCAATCTCCGTTCCCCAGCAGGGGACGCCCACACTCTCCAGCTGCCAGGAGCACCCAAGTGTAGAGAAGGAAAGAAACTGGTCCCTGAGTGCCTGCCGTGTGCCCGCCAGGTGCTGTGTTAGGTGCGGTAGAAACCCCCCCACTCTGTGACGACACAGTCAGAGATGAGTCGAGGCTGATGGACCTTCAGGTTGTATGTGGACAGGAAAGCAGAAGGTGGGGAGAGGAAGAGAGGGGCAAGGCAGTGGTCACAGCTGTCCCCTAACATCGTGGCGTGAATGGAGAAGAAAGGAGAAACTCTGAATTTGATTCACATTTTACTACTTCTTAGTTATGTGGCGTTGGGCAGATTACTGGATGTCTCTGAGCTTATTTCCTTTTCTATACAAACGGCTGTGGCCACTGGGAAGACTAAATGAGTTAATATCCATGAAAGTTCCTAGCAAAGTGCCTAATTTGTCTTCTCCCCTGGGATAAAGCTTTCTGTGTCCTCAGCCTTAATTTTATTCCACCCATCCCTGCCTCTCAGGCTCTGCCTTTCTCCATTTAGGGCCAGAAGCCCACTTCTCTACCCCTGGAACTTTTAGCCTTTCTCCTTGGAACTTGCCAGGTGCTGGGGAATGGAGCAATCCTTCTCTGCTGTTTGTTATGTTTCTCCCTACGTGAAAAATCCTGATCACCTTTGTTCATCTCCTGTGCCCAGGTCCTGGTCCTGTTGAGGACCTAAAGCTAGAGACGCTGCAACAGACGGAGAAGATGCAGCGGGACAGCCAGAGGGGTCCCAGGAATGCTCCGTGGCATCAGCCTTGGCCTTGCCTGCCTCTGAACCACAGCACATTCTGTAGACAGTCCCAGTCAGAAAGGAGACACAAAGGGTCTTCTCTGACCCCCCAACCAGCAGCAGCCCTGGCCCCAGTGGAGCCTGGGAGAAGGGGTGAGCAGGCCCTCACCTGGGAGGCCGTGGTCCCGGCTGCGTTGCATGTTGAGAGCCGCCAGGTCCAGCCCGATTCTTCTCACTTGCTGAAACAGCCTGTCCCGGAGCTCATCCACTAACATGGAATCCTGCCGGTTCAGCTTGGCAGGGGTGCCCATGAGGCCCCGAAGGAGGGGGTCGATGCCACCTGGTGGTGGGGAATGTGAGCAGCACAGATTGGACCAGCCTCTGGGAAGCCCCTGAGTCATCACATGATGCCAAAGTAGCTCAGAGCGGGATAAACCAGTTACTTCTGTTCTATAATGGTTATTTCAGGAGCAGGCCTGGTGGACAGGAAGCAGCGGGGGCTGTCAGGGAAAGGGGCCACCCTACTTCTTAAAGGAGTGGAAGGCTCACTGCTTTCAGGCCCGCACACCACCAGTCTGACCGGTCTCCTCCCTTTTTAGAAACCCCTAATCCCAGAGGGGTTGGGAGGCCTGTGACTGAAGGTCTTGGTGGCACCTGCCTTGTTTCCACTGTCCTGGGGAGATGATTAGCAGTGGCCCGAGCAGCTGCTGGCCTCCTGGCCGTAGGCTTGGCCCAACTGGGAGAGGGTGTGCTCCCCAACCCCACTCCCTTCTGCCTCTGGAAAACCCGGTCACCTTCATGCACAACTCTCCAGCTGGCAAAGAAGGCAGAGCTGAGCAGAACACGTGAGTTGGGTGCTGAGGCCTGGTACTGGCTGTCCAAGCGAAACACGAAGGGCTGGAGCATGGTGTGCCCGAAGCGGAAGGCCAGGGTGAAGACATTGGATACACGAGGGTCCACATTGGAGCAGTACCCCGTGTAGGACCCCAGGGTTCTCCTGGCCCGGGCCTTGCCTAGAACCAGGGGCAGAAAGTCTCGGTAGGTGATGATCTAGAAGAGAAGATGTAGGAAGAGATTACCTTAGCGGCTGCCTACCCCACTCCCTTACCTTTGGACAGACCTTTGGCTTTTGAAGGGCTATTAGGCATATTCATTCTTGATGTCATCGTGTCAAACAGAGCAACGCTAATTTCCCGTTGGCTGATGGAGGTACTGAAGCCCAGAGAGGCTGAGTGACACGGGCAAGTCACACAGTGTTAGTGGCGGAATTGGGGTGTAGGTCAGATCTCAGGTGCACACACAGTCACTCCGACCTGACTTACTTGAGGCACATCCCCAAGGATGTGTTAAGGAGGGTGGGAGTCACTTTTTTGGATTGCTTCTCGTGCCAGATTTTCTTGTAGGGGCTGCGGGGACCCAGGGCTCCCTACCTGGACCATGGCCCCCACTATCTTCCGAGCCTCCTGGTACAGCCTTTCTCCAGTCCACTGGGGATTCAGCCTTCTCAGCTCTGTAGCCAGCCGATTGTGCTCTCGCATAAAGAGGGTATGCATGGCTGCCAGTGACGGGTTTTCGCTTGATCGAATGTCACCTTGAAAACCCCAAGTTGAGAGTCACCATAGGTCTTCCCAGAGAAATGTCTAGGGTAGACAGAGTTCCGGGGGCTAGAGAAAGGTGGTGGGACTTTCTGACCTGGGCCGAGCTCCTGGCCCTCACTGTCCCTCCACCTCCTCATGCTGTGAGGCTGCTCACTGACTGCCACCCTTCCCCCAACACAACCGGCCAGGAGGGGGATGGCGGGGTCCCCTAAGTGACTGGAACAAGTTCTGGGTGGGGAGCACAGGGCAGCTGCCAATCTTGGGCAGGAAAATCTTAGCCTAATGATTCTAGTCCACAAGATGACCAGCTCCACAGCTGGTGGAGAGAACCGGATGACTAGAAACCTTGACGTGGGGACCGCGAGCCTGCCTGTCCCATGAACTGCATCCGTCTGCACGTTCTCTACCGAGGTCTGGATCTCTCCCCAGCTTTGGACTTGCTTTCACGCAAGAGGGAAGATTGGACAGAGCCTCTTCCTGTAGCCAGACCGTCTCCCAGAGGCCTGGCACGAAGTACATTCCTGAAGGTGGGCCTTACGCACAGTCATTTGCTGGCTTTGAACTAAGCCCTTTTGTACAAGGTCTTATTGAAGCCCCACTCTTCAGTAGACCTCTCGTGAAGGAGCAAAAAAAAGTCCTTACAAAAGGGGGTGGAGCCAAGTTCCTGTGAAGAAGGCATGGAACAGCACGGAAAGAGCACAGACCTGGCTGCCCCGACCTGAGTGCCCACTGGGGACTCTGCCATCCGAACTCTGTGCTCTGGAGCACATTAGTCCTCTCCCCGGGCCTCAGTTTCTCCAGTAAAACGAGGGTGATAACCGTGGCTTCCTGTCAGAGCTGCTATAAGGATGGGAAATGGCACATTTAAATATCCTAAATGGCCAGAAATGATGCCCGTTACCATAACCAGCACATGGGGGCAAAGAGCCCCAGAAGAGTTCAAATTATGCATCTAACAACATACCAGGTGCCAGTACGTAACAACAGTGGCGGGGAGGAGTGGGGGGCAGTAAAAACCTGAGGGAATTTAGCCCAGAGAAGAAAAAACTGTAGGTGGAAATAAAGCTAACTTTCAAGTAGAAAGGCATTGCTGAGTGAAAGATAGACCGCTTCTTCCCTGAAGTTCCAGAGACATGATGAAGAGCAATAGGTGGATGTTGGATCAAAACAGGGGGACCTTTCTAACAGTCAGTGCTGCTGGAGATAAACAGGCGTTTGCAAAGGGACTCCTAACCACCTCTGGGTCCCGTGACTACTACACGCAGATCTGTGCTCTGGTTGGCCTAATATCGAGGTCTGAAGCCATGCACCCCCACCGCATCGCCCCATGGCCTCCCACCCCAGAACCCAGGGGCTGGCTGACACGCTGCCTTCCCCAGTCTGACCTGCCAGGAAGCAGGGGATGCGCGCGGAGCGGTTGGTGAGGAGGCAGGGGTCATCGTGCAGGTTGTCGAAGGGCAGCAGCGCCCGGCCGTTGTCAGTGAAGCGTTGGTTGATGGCCAGTAGCCCCAGGAAGTTGGTCCTGTTGCGGAGGCGCAGGGAGAGGGAGACCTCACTGCCGTACACCATGCTGGCATCCACGAAGGAGGTGAGTGAATTGATCTGGTTTCGAATGATGTTCCTGTTTTGGGGGCAGAAGGCTGCCGAGCGGGAGAAGGGGATGCAGTCTCGCTGGTTCTTGATTCGGGGGTCATTGGCCGGAATCTGAGGTGAAGAGGAGCCAGTGACTCTAGGGCCCCTTAAGAGCAAGCTTACTCCTCTTGATCATCCCACACCTGCTTCAAAGCCTTGCTCAAAGCTCCCTCCTTCAGGAAGCCCTCCTTGACTCATCCAGACACACACTGCTCACCAGGTCAGTTGGAACATCCTTAGCACTTTGTACCACAGAGCCATGAAAGGTTAGAAACGGATGCACCTTAGATCCTCAGTGACAACTAGCTAGCAGGAGAGGAAAGACTGAAACCTAGTTCTCCTGACAGTTAGGCCTGTGCTGCTTTCATTCCATTCCGCCCAGGAGATATTTCCTCAGCACCTTCCGTGCTGGGTGTTTGGAGATGTGGAGATCAACAGAACGCAGTTCAGGCTGCAGGAATTCCACTGAAAACAGACACACACGTAGGGAATGTGACTGTAAACTGACATGCCATTCGCTAGGCTTGACCTAAAAGCCAAAAGCGAAGGCGAAATAGGAAGGTGTGGGAAGGCTCTCCAGAGGAGGTGCCCCTGAACCAGGCCTTGAAGAATGGGTAAAGCTGAAACAGGGAGGAGCCAGCCAGGGACCTCACATGTCACGCCTCACGCATATCACGCCCCGTGGATAGCGCCTGACCTGTCAGGGAGAGTGAAGGGGTGAGGGTGTGTGCGTATGAGTGTGCGCGCGGGGCCCCCTCTCCCCAGCAGAGGCCCTGCTCCCTGAGCGCATCTTTTCTTCCCTAATGTTGAACACCACCCTTGCCTCTCAGCCTGAAGGATAGCATCCTGCTCACAACCGAATCCCAGGAACTGGCAAGAACTGCAGGGCCCTCGGACCACCCCAGAAGGGAGAGAAGGGTGAAAGCTGAGAGACCCTAGAGGCTTCCAAAAGCAGCAGCCCAGAGGCTTCTGCTGTTGGGATCAGACCTACGAGTCAAAGCCAGTCTCCATCCCTTCCCCTTCGTGAAGCCTGCAGTGAAGCTCCTGGCAGACTGCCCTACCCCCACCCTCAAACCCACGTAGAACCAGAGTCTCTGTGGGGCTGTGCTTCTTGTCTGTCTAATAGGCCAGCATCACAGACAGCTCCTTAAGGACGGCGCTTGAGGCTTCCAGCTCCCAGCTCCCAGCTCTTGGCCCAGGATGGGGGCCAGTGACCTGGGAGATCGGCAGAGGGTACCTTGATGGGGAAGCAGGGGGGCAGCTGGACACAGGTCTTCTCACAGTCAACGCCTGCAGTGAAGGTCACTCTGGCTGGGGTTTCAGGGGCGAAGTCCAGATCATGGTCAATGAACTGGCCCCACTGCGTGAACATGAGGGCCCGGTCCTGGTCAGAGGCCATCCTCTCTCTGGGGAAGTGCACGATCTGATTGGAGACTGCCCGGACCTGGTGGGGAGATAGGTCAGTGTGAGGGGTGGGCTTCTGGGCCCCAAAAAGTGTTGGAGCCGACCCGGCAACTCAAGGGGCAATAAGTCGCCCCTGCTGGAGTTAACACAGAGTCTCTCCTCTCCTACCCTCCCCTCCCCCTTCCCACTCTGTCCCACTTCCTCTGTGACTGTCATTCCTGGACAGATGGTCTCTGGCCTGCTTCCTGAGGACTCCAGGAGGAAAGAGAAGGGGAGAGGCCGAAGTGGCCGGCTCAGACCCTACCAGCACCTCTTGAGAGGTTATTACATCAAATCGATAGGTCAGCTTATAAACTAATGGATAACTGGATGATAGAACTGATTGATAGATGCCTGGACTGGTTGCTAAGTAATGGATAATAAATATAGAGAGAATGGCTAGATCAAGAGAAGAAAATTAATAAATAGATGTTGACAGATGGGTGGATGATAGTTACGTTGACATATGAATAGAAAATTGGTAAATTGTTAAGTGTGAATTAGCACAGATAGTGCTAGATTAAGGTGTAGAGCCCTTTATACAGGGGTAGGCAAAAGTAGGTTTACAGTGTTAATACAATAATTAATAAATAATAATACAAAAATAAACTGTTTCCTGTACTCACCATTGTAAACCTACTTTTGCTCAACGAATTTAGCAAGATACCTTGACACATTCTTTCAGGAAAAAAATGCTGTACTGGCTAGCATTGATAGATTGAATCCTATAGGGATGTTTGTTTAATATTTATTTAATATTCATACCAGCAATATGAGGCAGGTTTTACCGCTGTTTTACAAATGAGGAGACCGAGACTCCGCTGTATGACTTGCCCAAAGTCACCCAGACAGCCAGGGGAGAGCCTGGATTCCAGTCCTGTCTGGCTGACTCTGGGCTGTGCTTTTACCGCTCTAGTCTAGCAGACATGGAGCATCCTCCAGGTCCTCCGCCCCGACTCACAAGAGGGAGGAGGAAGCCATTGCGCCTCTTGCCAGGGGTCCAGCCGAAGGGGAGCGATAGGCCATCCTCGTACTCGGCCGGCAGCCAGCGAGCCAGGGCAGTATTGGAGGCCCCCAGCCAGGGTATCTTCCTGCAGCAGTGGGTGGGTTCGAGTCACTCAGTGTGTAGGGAGGGGTGCTGAGGGAGGGAGGCCCCCCAGGGTCAGATGCAGCCCCCGGCACCCACTTGTTGTTGCATCTCCCTGTGATGGTGCGGTACGTGTCACTGCACTTCTCGCCCTGGTCCTTGGACAGGGCAGCACAGCCACTGGCCTTGGACAGCAGCCACAGCTGGGATTCCGTTAGCACATCTGGGGTGGGGCAGATGGGAAGGGTCTTGGATCCAGGATCCCAGCTCCTTCCTGAGCTGGTCTATCCTGTACCTCCCATCCCTTTACTCTCTCCCCTTCCGACATGCCACGGCCCACACCCTTCCTCCCTACTTCCTGACTTCCTTCACTTCCAGGCCAGGCAGCCCTGGGGGTCCAGTGAGGAGCACAGTACCAGTGACGTTGAAGGAATTAGACCCCCGGAGTTGTAGCTTCTCCTCTAGCAGCCCTAAGGCCACATGCATGTAATCGGAGGCCTGAACGAGTGTCCTGGTGGCTGCCAGGGGCTGTTTGAAGTAGAACAGGAAGTCCCTGGGGCTGGCAGAGCCGCTGCGAAAACGCTGCTTGATGCTGCGGAAGAGGAGGGAGGCTGATCGAAGGAAGCAGACCCAGCCAGCAGAGCCCCATCCCAGGACAGTCAGGACAGTGTAAGCAGGCGGACGGAAGGGAGGTTGTCCACCAACATGACACTGTCCACATGACGCCCAGGGGCAGGGTGATGGGGGAGATGTTTTAGTTTGGAGCCCATCCTCCCTCATTGACCCTCCCAGGCCCACACAGCCCCCAGCCCCCAGCCCCCAGCCCACCTCCTCTGAGTCTGATTGTAGGCAGCATCCACCAGCAATTTGGCCTCTGTGATGCAGCTCTTAAGGACCGAGGTCTCCACTGCCAGGGGGGAAGCTGCTCAGAAGGAAGGGGACTCAGAGTCCGGGGGAGCCATAGCACCCCCAGACCCAAGCAGCTCCCCCTCCATTGCCCTGCTCCTTGGCTGTCCAAGGGGCTATTACCTGGGGCAGTGCCCTCACAGGGCTGGGCCAGGACGAGTGTGGTGACGACTCCCGCCATGGCCAGAAGCAGCTTCATCTCCACGATGAGACCCCCAGCCACAGTGGGGCCATGAGCGACACCCACGTCTTGCATACCAGTGGACTCTGCTGCTCCCTTCTCACGAGGAGGGCCCCAAGCTGACTTCTCCCCTCCTCCTCTTTGGAAGTAGCTTGGAAGGGACTTTTATATCCAGTCCTAGGGTGGGGGAGGGGAGCTCTGGGCCCCAGAAACCCAGCCTCTTGAGGTGGAGCTCTAGAACTTCCCTCTTATTTTGGGGGGAATCGTGAAACACCCACCTCACTCGACCGCTCACCAGCCGAGGGGCCTTCTTCCCTCCTATCCACTCACCTCTCCCACCGTCTTTGCTGTTGAGTTCACTGATATATGTCTCTCAGGGCCCACCCAGGTTGCTCAGGGAATATTTGCTGGATGACTGAGGAACAGCATGCCCCAGAAGAGGACGGGGCCTGATCCTGCCACTCACTAATTGTATGGTCACTTCCCTCTCCAGGCCTCAGTTTCCACATCCCTAAAATGGGACTTGGGTCAGATGATTGGAAATGTTCCTCTCCTTCCCCAACAGGACAGAAGCTGGGTCTGCCTCACTGTAGTATCTTCCCATACACCCCCCACCCACCCACCCAGCACAAGACCTGGCATTCAGTAGGTGCTCAATACATTTTGTTGAGTGAATTCATGATGTAGGATTAATGATTCAGCCCTTGCCCCTTACTCTCTACCCTACCAGCTCTCTCCAAGATGCCAGTAGAGGGGGAGGTGATAGCTGAGTCAGGGCCTGAAAATTAAGGGAGCTACCTTGCGGGGCCCTGTGGGGGACGCAGTGAGATGGCACAGAAAGGCACCTGCAGAGCGATGGTAGCAGGCCTCCATACAAGCTGGGCCCCTGTCGGGCTCGGTGCTTCTCCATGAATGTAAGTGCTTAGTCGTAGTAGGTGTATGCTGAGTAGTAGGTGTGAGTTCTCATCAGAGTGGCTTCCTTGGAGGAGGCTTCCTGCCAGGTCTCGGAGCCACCTGGGTTGGATCTGGCTCTGTTACTACCTGTGCGACCTTGGCCAAGCTTTCATTTCCACATTTTAAGGGTAGATCATCCCAGTCAGTCTTCCTCCAAGGGACAGGCCTCTCATACCCTCTTGTCTTTCCTCCTGCAGTTTCCTCCACTGGATGAGCCAGGCTCACCCTTTGCTTCCACCGGCCCTGGTCCCCTGGAGAACCGTGTTCATCTCTCCATACCCAGCTCTAGAATTACCCGCGCTGAGCTCTGCAGCCTGCCTGTCCTCGCCCCTTCCTCAGGAGGGTGTGTCCACCCTGTGCCTGCTCCTCGCAGGGCTGTCCCAAGTGTCCTTGCCCCTGCCCTCGATCCCCCATGCCCTACCTAATCCCAGCCCCACACCCTCCTCAGCCCCCTCCTCCCACACCAACGCCCCCAGCCTGACAGTTGCTCTTGAAATAGCCCCTTCAGCAATCTCTTTCACAAGCTACAGTTGAAGGCCTGATCTTATCTCCCTCTCTTCAGCAGGGGCCCCTCTCCTGTGACAAGGGGGCCTGCATGGAAAGTCACAGTGGGGTTGCCAGAAGCGCACTTACCCCCTGCATGACGTGGGGTAAGTCACACCACTCCCTGGACCTCACTCTTCACAGCTGTGAGAGACAGTGAACCTCACGAAGGAGAGAGAGTTGAAAAATGGTAGCCTGGTCCTCAAATGTGCTTTACCTTTTGGACCTCAGGAAGCCAGGTACCCCCAGAATGCTGGAAGCCAGGGTGGGACCTAGGTTGTTCGCCTTCCAGGCACCCCCTCCCCCAAACAAAACTCAGAGTGAGCTCTGCTTGCCCTCCGAGAGTACTCAAGTTCAGCAAGAGTGGGTTGTGCAAGGGTTTGCCACAGCGGTGGGCTGCTGCAGGTTATTGGGACAAGCTAGAGACAGGACCCGAGGCTCTAGTCCCTGCCTGCCCTGGTGGCCGACCTCTGGGAGGATTTGGCATATCGACGGCTCGAGGTGATGATGAGAAGCAAGCAGATAGAAAGGGACTGTCGAGGGGCCCTGCACAACCAGACTGTGGAGGGCAGGGTCCCTGGGCATGGCTGGGGCAGGACTGGCAGGCAGAGATGCAGGGAGACCAAAGGAAATGCTAGGTCTGCCACCTGGACTCCTGCCCCTTCAGCCTACTTTCTGCTGCCCGCCCTGCCCCAGGTCCCTGCCCCTACACTCCAGCCACCTCGATCCTCCCCACTCCCACCCCTTCCCCAACACATCTGCTTCCAGGCTTCTGCTGATTCTGCAGGAAACATAGCACTAAGTACCCAGGAGCTAGTTGAGAGCAGTACAGAGAGGTGACTAAGAACTGACCTGGGTCCCCATCCCAGCACCATCATCTACTTGGGCAAACTCCTCAACCGCTGAGCTGACCTCTCCCCTGTCAAATAGAGGTCATTAAAGATGTTATGGCAATAAATGTGGAATTCTTCCACAGTGCCTGGCACACGGCAGGCACTCAGCAATGGTTCTGCCTAAGCCTTGTTGTTCTGCCCCTTGTTGCTTCCTTTACTGAGCTCACTCCAGGCTGTCCCCCAGGGTTGAAGGGTGCAGAGCAGGGAGTGCAAGGGCTTTGCAGACCATCCAGGCCTGGGTGCCTGGAAGGAAGGATGGAAGGGAGGGAGGAAAGAAGGGAGGAAGGAAGGGAGGAAGGGAGGGAGGGAGGGTGGGAGGTGGGAGGGAGGGAGGCCTCCAAAGTTAAGCTTGTTCAGACCCTGGTCTCTAAACACTTTCCATGTCGGAGTGGGCATGGCAGATGCCAGCACCAAGGCCACTGGGAACGGAGTGGAGTGACAAGGATGGGGGGAAAAGCCCTCCAGGTCCTCTCCGGTTGGGCACCTGCCCCCTCCCCGGCCATGACTTTTACTATGAGGCAGGCGTGAACATGTGGGGTCCTTGCCCGATCTCAGGATGGTCAGCTTTGACATCTGCTTCTTCTGCGGTCAGGATCAACCACACCCAGAGAACAGAAAAGGGTTGTGGGCCAGGGCCACGGGCCCCACATTATGCCCGCCTTTGGCTTTTCATTATGCCCCCTGGACCTCATTGGAGAGATTTTAGATTTTCCGTGGGGCTAAGTGTTGCCCAGTGGTAACCTGGAGTAGATTATTTTTTAAAATATGTTTTTATTGCTTTTTTTTAGGGAAAGAGAGATAGAAACATCAATGTGAGAGAGAAGTATTAATTGGCTGCCTCCTGCACGCCCCCTACTGGGGATCGAGCCCTAAACACAGGCATGTGCCCTGACCAGGAACCCAACTGGAACCTCTCAGTCCATGGGACGAAGCTCAATCCCCTGAGCCACACCAGCCGGGCGAGATTATTTTTGATATCCCTCCTCTACACAACAAAATTATTTTCAGTAATACTCATTATATAAAACAAATAATAATGATGAATAGAAAAGAAATACGTGAAAGTTCTTTTATTAAACATTGTACGTGTAATCATGCCAGTAAAGAAATAAAAATAAAATATTACAACATGAAAAGGAAAAGAATAATGGATTAATACTTTTTAATCACATGAATGTGTCTTAAATGAAGGGGGAAAACTACTTACATAGTGGTGGTTTTAATATAATATTTAATATATCATTACAGTTTCTGTTTTCTTGATTTTTTTTTTAGTTTTAAAATAAACAGAAAAATTTTAAAAAGAATAAATTTCAACCGTAAAGATATTCAAATTCAGCAAAATATTCATGTATGTATGAAGTGAAATTTACACTTTAAAAATACTATATTTAGCAGTTTTGCATTCTGTTTCAATGTTTTAAATTTTAAACAAATTATAACTCCGAACGGTCACAGGGTGTGACAGAATTGAAGGACATCAAGTTCTGTCTCTTCATCTTTACAGGGGCTGTGTGATCCCTGTTTGCACCAACTGTTTAAATGCAAGAATATGCATCACTGCAGGGGCGGGCAGACTGAGGTGCAGCCTCTGGCAGCTGATTGGAAACTTACTCCCAAGCGAATGCATGTATCTGAGGGAGCCACGCTGTAACTGAGAACTAACTTCCGCATAGAACACAACACTTATTAAAGGGTAAGGAATGAAAAGCCTCATTTGACGCTTGCAGACGTGGGGCCTGTTAGACCGCAGCTTGGGGAGTCCTGCAGGGGAGCTCTTCCCCTGGAAGGGACATGGCAGCCTCACATTCCAGGACTGAGCCACATAGGAAAAAAGGGTTTGTAAGGAGAAACCAAAAGACCACGTGGGGTGACAGGAGGGGATAAAGCTGCTTGGAAACTGTGAAGAGGGGGCAAAAGGAAGGATAGGGAGCATCCTTGGGGATCAGGGCCCTGACCAGCCAGCACTTCAGCTGTTCTCCCTCCCTCCTTGGTGGCCATAGGACTATGAGGCCCTGGGGAACTGGGTACCACTGGTCCCATGAGCATCCTATCCCCCTGCCAACTCGTCTCGACCCTCTGTGCAGCTTCTCCTAAAGAAAGAAGCCCCCAGTCTCACAGTCTGGCTCCTGCTATCTCCCCTCTCCAGAACCCCATCTCTCTCTATTCCTCTGCCCCCTAAACCCACTGGCTTTCAGCTCGTGAAATGGACCTGCCCTACTTGCTATGGGTCTCAACCACGAAGACCCTTCCCCTTTTGTGGCTGGTGACTCCTACTGACTCTCCAGGCCCCATCCACAGGAAACCTTTTCTGTCCAAGCCTCACTAGATCCAACTCAAGTGCCTGGGTTTTCCTGGTCTTTATAGCTCCTTTCATAGAACTTAGCATCACTATAGTTATACATGTATTTTTGTGGTTGAATCTGATGAATCTACAGCTCCCTACAGGTCTGTGAGTGCCATTCAGAAAAGGTGTGTGAAAGTTCTGTCGCTCACTGTGGCCTCAGCACCTAAGACAATGCCTGGCAGGGCCTCAAAACTTATTTGTGGAATGGATGCTCCTGCTGTGACCTTGCCTGTCACAGCTCTTGGGCCAGGGATGGGGTTTTTGCCTGTACATCTATTAGGACCTGGTGCCTCTGGTCGGGGGCATTGTTCGCCCTCGTTCAGGCCAGCCCTGGGTC